TCTCGCTCACGCTGCACACTGCCCCCCCCTCCATCCCAGCAACGCTTAGGAAAAGAGTTACACAAGCATCCTTTCCAGAAGTGAATCGGGGGGGGGGGAGGATTCGGAGCAAAGGCTGAAACCGGGAAGAGAAAAATTCCCAAAGAAAATCGCACGAGCAGCATCCCATTCCTGGGAGAAAAACAAAAAAACAAAAAACACGAACTCTTCCCGAAGCACAAAAGCAAGGATGGCGCTTTCTCAGCTTTGAGCTGCGTCGCTGCTCTCCCACCCCCTCCACTCGTCCCCACGTGCAGCGAAGTTTCTGCCACTAGGGGGGGGTGGAGGGGGATGGAAGGAGGTGAGGGATGGGGGCAAAGCCTGGAGCCTGCCTGTCCGCTCGCACGAGCGGAGTGGGTGGGTGGGTGGGTGGGGGAGGAGGAGGAAGAGAGACTCCGGCTGGGCTTGAAGGGGCTTCGCAAGTTGCGGAGTTCCGCCCCTGTCGCTCTTGCACCGAGTGACAACAACGTATTTGCCGGCGTATAAGACGACCTTTGTTATATACTCGCCGTATAAGACGACCCCCCCACTTGGAGGCATGTTTTTCAGGGCAAAAAAGTCGTCTTATACGCCGGCAAATACGGTACCTATCGAGATAGAAACAGACAGCCAACTCGAAGCCTCACCAGGGAGAAGCAGCCAGGCCAGCTCAACCAGCCCAGAGAGGCCGGGCGGGAGCGGCAACACCAGCAGCTCAACCAGCCCGGATAGACCGGGAGGGAGCTGCGACAAAAGGCCCGGCTCACCCTTCCAGGCGGTTCCATCGACGAGGCAGAGAACAACACAGAACCTGACCGAACCGGCCAAAGGCCAATCATCAACTAACCTGCACAGGTCAAGTAGGCAAGTACGGAGCCCCGCCTACTTACGGGACTATGTTACGTAGGACCCTACCAAGAGGGGAGGGGTGTTCTGTACGATCCATTAACATACTCGCAAGTGCCGCGCTGTGATTGGTCAGAACGCACAGCAACCTGATTGGCTGAGCAAGCCGCACTGATTGGCCCGCCGCGAATCCCCCGCGATTGGTGGAAACTAATCGCAGGAGATTCAAAGCGGTGCCATTGGCCACGGCCGCCGCAGCCAGAGAATAAAAGCCGCCGCTTTTCTTCTGTGAGCCGAGCCGATCTCGGAACTTAATAAAGAGTTGAACTAAGTCACTGGCTCCCGAGTCTCCTTTCCCGACGGACACGACACTTCAATTTATTTAATTAAAATTGTACACACAAATGTACACCGGATAAAACATCTGGAATGTCTTTGGACACCACATGCAATCTAGATCCACTAGGAAGGGACTAGGGCACCTATGCCTTCTCCATGGATTTCCCATCCAGTCTACATTCTTTTGTCACAAATTGTATTCCAAATGTTGGGAGCATTCCAAAACAACAACAACACACAAGTGCATCCAGCAAACCTATGTACTTCTGTTCCATGCTCAACAATGTTCTCTCTCTCTTGCTCTCCACTCAAGTGCCAGCATGAAATGACTTCAGCACTTTTGCTGGGATTGCCACGGTTTAGTTTGGTTCGGTGTTCGTGGTTGCCATGGTCACAGTGGCTATATTTCAACTCATTATGGCCCAAAACACATGGTAGATCATGTCTGGCTTTGTTAGGGAGATTCCAATGGGTTCCAGATATACCTGGAGGACTTTCCAGTCAGTATGGCTGATATTCAGGATGAGCATTTAGATGCCATTGGTCTACATAGCAATTGATACATTTGTTTATATGTGTGTAAAAACAGGATGTCTTCAGCTTCAGCCCACCATGGACTTCTTAGTCTTCCCTTCCTCTTGAACCATTTACTCTTCTTTCATAAATTTGCTTTGCAATTATCTTTACACACTCTCTTTGTGTGAACTGCCAACATATTCTTTGTTCATTCTGGTACCTCTTGATGTAATCAACTCTCATTTCCATACCAGTGTCTACAAACAGGCCTTCTCGTCAGTAGTCCCATAAATTTGGGGTGCTCCATCCAGTGAACTATAACTAGTATTGTCTTCGTAGTCTTTTGATGCCAGACAAAGATATATTATTCTCCTGATCATTTTAATAGCATGCTAATTTTGCTGTGATTCTTTACCTTTTATTGCTACTTTTACTATTTTCATTGATTGCTTACAGTGGACCACAAGGATTTTATTTCCCGAATATTTGGGGTGTTTCTTATTAATTTTTGGCTGCTAATCATGAAAATAACCTGTAATTTAACCTATCATATACCGTTTTATAGAAATCTTCTATTTTTACATAATGGCAATGTACAGCCTTTCATAGCTGCTGGCTATGCTGTTCACATGCCAGAAACATAGGAAAACATGGAACCGTTCTTGAAGTGCATCCAGTACACCATATAAAACTGGAATATCTGTGAAGATCTAAAAATGATGGTTCGGCTGCTTAGCTCATATGAACCTAGTATTGTTGTTACATTTGTGAATGAATGGGATAGCCATGCAAGAGAACTGCAGTACATTAAAAAGACAAAAATTGTTGTCCCGTGCTATTTCATTCTGTATTTTATTTATAATTGTTACAAGGTACTCATGTGATTTCAAAGCACTTCCAGTTTTATTTTCTAATGTAAGCAACATAGACATAGTTCATATCAAATACATTAAATGTTAATTGTTTAATTTTGGGGTCCTGCAGACACCACAGAAGAGCAATTTTATATATATATAGAATTCCCCAAAAGGCCATTGCTGACTCTGGATTAGATTAGATTATAGTCTTCAAAAACTGATTATGACAATCTCAGGGTCTACACAAAGGGAAAGTTTGGGAACTGGTCTCATAAGGAAAGAAAATCATGAGCAAAACTCTTCTTCTCAGTTCAGGAATTCGTAGTGTCCAAGAAAGAGGGAAATGCAGACAGGATTTGGCCTAGCAAAGCCACAATATGGATGGAATTTGCTAAGGTGGAGTAATAACCTCCGTTCAAATTCTCATTAATTTTTTTTTTAAAGAACTTCAGCAGATGCCTTTTTCACAAGGGAATAGCAAGGGATAGAATGATAGTATATTATCCACAACAGGGTAAACACATTTCAGAAAATGAGTTCTTATGATTGGTTTTAGTGGTTTCTATACTTTTAATTTATTAGTATTGTGTAGTGTTGTGGTATCAAGATAAATGGCATATTTATTATGAACAAAGAGAGAAAGAAAAAGAAGGTACAATCAAAAGTACTGCAAAAATAACATATCAAGAGCATTTCTTGGAATCTTGAAATGCAGATTCGAACCATGGGTTTATTTCTTCTTCATTAGTCCGTGGAAAGCTTTATGCAACTCTTTGTTCCTCAGAGTGTAGATCAGTGGATTAAGCACGGTGGTGATAACGTTTTATAGAAATCTTTTTACGCAATGGCAATGTACAGACTTCCATAGCTGCTGGCTATGCTGCTCACATGCCAGAAACATAGGAAAACATGGAACTGTTCTTTAAGTGCTTCCAGTACACCATGTAAAACTGGAATATCTGTGAAGATCTAAAAATGATGGTTCAGCTGCTTAGCTCATATGTACCTAGTATTGTTGTTACATTTATGAATGGGATAGCATTACATTAAAAAGACAAAAGTTGTTGCCGGTGTTATTTCATTCTGTGTTTTATTTATAATTGTTACAAGCAACACATGTGATTTCAAAGCACTTTCAGTTTTATTTTCTAATGTAACGTAATGTAGTATAGACATAGTTCATATCCAATAAATTAAATGTCAACTGTTTAATTTTAGGGTCTTGAAGACTTGAAATGCAGTTTTGAATAGTTCTTCTTTAATTTATTTATTTGAATTTGTCAAACAAAAATGAGAACAAGAATAAGAGAATAAAAATACAATGACAGGGATGATAGGCATGTTATTGCACATATGCACGCCCCCTCTACTAACCACTTAAGTATGATGTAAGGTCCACAGAAGTCAATTTGTAACTGAAACTGTGAAAATTTGTAGTTGAAACAACTGAATCTGGTACAGCATTTCAGACTTTGATAACTCTATTACAGAAATCATATTGTTTACAGTCAAGTTTAAAATGATTTACATTGAGTTTAAAGTGGTTGTTTGCGCGCATATTATTGCGATTAAAACAAATAAAGTCATTTACAGGTAAAACATTACTAAGTATAATTTTGTATGCAATACCTAGGTCTGACCGCAAGCGACACAGTTCTAAGTTATCCAAACCGAGAATTTCGAGCCTTGTAGCATAAGGAATTCTATTGTATACAGAAAAGTGGAAGACTTTTCTTGTGAAATCTTCTGAACCCACTCAATTGTACTGATGTCAGATATATGGTGGAGATTCCAAACAGTTGAACAATACTATAAGATTGGTCTAGCATACGTTTTATAAGCTCTAATTAGCAATGCAATATTTCTAGAAAAAAATCTGCAAAACTAAATTTATAACTCTTAATGCTTTTTTAGCAATGCTGTTAAAGTGAACTTTGGAGCATATATCGTCAGAGATAAGTATATTTAGGTCCTTGACAAAATGAGGGTCATCAGCCAGTTCAATGCCTCCTAGGTTATACTTGACATTCTGATTACATTTACCAATATGTACAACAAAGCATTTATTGATCAAAAGTTGAAGTTGCCAAATAGATCACCATTCAGACATATAGTCGAGATCACTTTGCAAAACAACAGAATTATCTGTAGTATTGAATATTTTTACATCATCGGCCAAAAGGACGCAATTGCTTTTAAGTTGATCACATAAACCGATATAGAGCAAAAAAAGTGTGGGACCTAAGACGCTGCCTTGTGGAACACCATTGTTAACTGATGCAAGATTAGACAGCGAGTTCCCTATGTTGACTTTCTGCAGTCTATTAGAGAGGAAAGCAGCAATCCACTTGTGCAAAGGACCAGAAATTCTGTAAAGAGTTTAATTTCAACAGCAGTTTATCATGTACTACTGTATCAAAAGCCTTACAAAAATCTATTTTTGATTAGTCTTTGGAGAGCTTTATGTACGTCTTTGTTTCTCAGAGTGTAGATCAGTGGATTAAGCATGGTGGCGACAAAGGTATAGGAAAGGGAAATCATCTTGTGTCGATCACGGGAGATGGACACAGGCTGGAAATAATTGAAAATGGCTGTACCATAGAAGAGCCAGACCACCATCAGGTGAGAGGAACAAGTGTTGAAGGCCCTCTTCCTGCCTTCAGCTGAGCGAATCCTCAGCACTGCAGCAGCTATATAGCTATAGGAGATTGTGATGAGACTAACTGGAATTAGAAGGAACAACACATTAGTAGAAAATAGCACAACCTCATTTAGTGAAGTGTCAACACAAGCCAATTTAAGAAGGGCAGGGAGCTCACAAAAGAAATGATCCACTTGATTCTGTCCACACAGTGGAAGCTTAAGAGTCATGACTGTATGAACTAGTGAGACACTGAAGCCACTTACCCAGCAAACAGCAGCCATCATGAAGCTCAGACAGTGGCTCATAATCATAGTATAGCGCAATGGATGACAGATGGCGGCATAGCGATCATAGGCCATGACAGCTAACAAAGAACACTCTGTGGAGCCCAGAGCAAGGGAGATGTAGAGCTCAGCCACACAGCCACCATAAGTGATAGTCTTGCTTTTTCTCCAGAAATTCACCAGCATGTGGGGCCCAAGGCTGGTGGTGAAGCAGAGGTCAATGAAGGAAAGGTTGCTGAGAAAGAAATACATGGGGGTATGGAGCCCTGCATCTAAGCTCGACACAACAATGATAGTAGTGTTGCCCAGAAGGGTCATCATGTAGCAGACAAGAACAAGGGCAAAGAGCAACATCTCCAACCGTGGCTGGTCAGCCACCCCCAGCAAGATGAATTCTCCTTGGTAGCTTTGGTTACTGGTTTCCCACGAGGTTCCCATGTTCATTGTCTATACAAATTAGAACAAGTAATGACATAAAAAGAAATTCAGTACAGAACAGATGAATATCCTGATTAAGCAATTGTCAGCTTGATTATGTGCCATCAAGGCATTCCTACTTTTAGCATGGAATGTTACAAAACTTCCACCCCCACCCCTTTTTTTAATTGCTGAGAGAGTACAGAAATTTGATTATTCATAAAATCTCAGGCTTTTCTTCAGCAAAGAAAAAGGAGCTGCATGGACATGATCCTCAATTCTGGAAGCCAAGGGTAAATCTCAGCACCCATAGATTTGATCAGAACTTCAGCTATTAAATATGCTAAGACTTTGTGATGCCTTCATTTCCATCACCACTTCCAAGACATCATCATCTGTCTTGCACAGGTAGGTTTTCTAGAAGCTTCCTTCAGGCTTCTATATAACAATGAAAAAAGATGTCTCCATTAAGTCTGTTCTGCTGGATCCCCTCCCCACCCTGCAACACATTTATTCCTTTATCCACGTATTGATTCCTTTATTTCATTCAAATTAATACCACTTTCTAATGCCTTGGTAAGCTCTCTCCTGGAGTACTGCATCCAGTTTTGGTCACCATGATATAAAAAAGATGTTGAGACTCTAGAAAGAGTGCAGAGAAGAGCAACCAAGATGATTAGGGGACTGGAGGCCAAAACATATGAAGAACAGTTGCAGGAACTGGGCATGGCTAGTCTAGTGAAAAGAAGGCCTAGGGGAGACATGATAGCAGTGTTCCAACATCTCAGGGGCTGCCACAAAGAAGAGGGAGTCAAGCTGTTCTCCAAAGCACCTGCGGGCAAGACAAGAAGCAATGGGGGGAAACTAATCAAGGAGAGAAGCAACCTAGAACTAAGGAGACATTTCTTGACAGTTAGAACAATTAATCCGTGGAACAATTTGCCTCCAGAAGATGTGAATGCTCCAACACTGGAAGTTTTTAAGAAGAGTTTGGACAACCATTTGTCTGAAATGCTATAGGGTTTCCTGCCTGAGCAGGGGGTTGGACTAGAAGACCTCCAAGGTCCCTCCCAACTCTGTTATTCTATATTCTATTCTATATCCCACCAAAATCTGGAGACTCAGCAGTGTAAACAAAAATACTTGCTGAAGTAGTTCTGTCAAATGAATGAAACAAAATTGTCCCCCATTTCAGGAAATGGCGAGAAAAGATGTCACCTCCTGTCCAACCTCAGCCTAATAATCACATCCACAAGGAATTGTGAAAGAGAGTGAAGTACAAAAGAAGATCAAGTTGGTGCAGATTTGATGGAGGAATTTTAGCAGGTGAAGCATCAGAGAAAGAGAGAGAGAGAGAGATGATAGGTGATAGATTAGAGAGGGGGGGAGAGAGAGAGAGAGAGAGAAAGCATGTAATCTTCTTCTTCCCTTCTTCCCTATATATCCATGTATATTATATAAGTAACCCCCAAAACACTCCATTCCACAACCTCACCTGTGTCTGTGTAAGAGAAATGTTGCTACTCTTGGCTCATCGTCATGTACTGCTTGGAGGGTCTTGGATGGATGGATGATTTGAAGTAAGAATCTCTGTGAGTCTTTTTCTACTACATAGGACGAACCAGCCTCTATTCAAAGAGCAGATGAACATTTTTAGTCCAAAATAATTCTCACTGGAGCATCTCAGAATGGATCTTTCTTTTCCAGAGACTAGAGGTTGGGCTGAAAGATGGTGACAGAAAATCAATTAGCAGGGACTTCAAACCCTCTAAAAAGAGAATAGAAAGAGACCTCTGTAAAACTGTATGCCAGCCGAAAACAGAGTATGAGGAAGAAGGAAAGATATAAAAAGTAAGGTTGAGGCAATGAGCAACATGAAAATAGTCAGTCTGAATAGACCATGAAGTCCCATGGGGCTTAATCTCAAGCAAATGGAAAAATTACAGCAATAATTTCAGGATTATTTTTCATTTGATCTTGTAAAGAAAGTAAGTTAAAAGCAAAGATTAATGCATCTTTCTGTTTAAAGAAAAAGGGAGATAAATTATAGTGGACAGACAGCAATAAGAAGGAAGCAGAAACTGTGCAGTTGAACATTTGGAGTGCCCAGTTTGGCATCTTGGCTCTTCCAAGTCAGCAGTGCTCCAGAATATTTACATATGTCACACAGACACACACAATAAGCAACCTGAGAAGGCAAGGAATGAAGCAGCATAGTAGATTTTATAGACATTTTCAAGGAGAGCGAGAAGGAAGAGCAATTCTTGCCAATTTCTTATCTGTTGGTGAAAATTGTTACAGAATAAAGTTGTCATAGATTCCCAGGGCACCAGGACTCAAGATGAATAATTAGTGGCAAGGAAAATACTTTCCCCCAGAGTCCAGCAAAGCCCTTGAAACCACTTCCAAAGACTCACCCAGGAAGAAAAAAGTGGGTCAGAAAAGTGACAGGAGATGCAGGAACGGGAGGAAGGGCTGTGCAAAAAGTTTGGATCAGCAAATTTCAAGTGGTGTCAGAAATTGTTTTTGCTATTGAAGGAAGTTATGGTGGAACAAATTTCTGTTCAGCCTTTGAAGCACAATGTGTCATGTCAACGTGGTGGGCAACACACACACACACACACACACAGATTTCAATGGTTTGCTTCTGCTTTTATTAATGCTGTATGCACACACCCACATGAAATTCTGGATAGAACTTCTGGAACATCTTCAGCTACCACACCCAATTTAAACCAACCACAAGGGGATCAAGGTACCTACGGTACATCTCCTCCATGGACTTTCCATCCAGTCTGCATTCCTGCATTCCTCTACCACAAATTTTATTTCAAATGTTGACAGCACTGGAAAAAAACATTGTCTCTCTCTCTCCAGTGAGGTGTCACCATGGAGTGACTGTATCTTTAGCATTGCCAAGAAATGGTAGGCAATTCACTAAGTGCCAGCTGATTTCTTACTTCATCTGATCAAAGAGATCTCAGATTTGGCATTAGGGGATCCTAATATTTTCATTCTGGAAATCTTCAGCACCCATGTTCAATACATATTTGTGTGTGTGTGTGTGTGTGTGTGTGTGTGTGTGTGTGTGTGTGTGTGTGTAGCAGTCACTATTATTCTTTGTAGAGGGGTGGACCAATACTGGTCAATTTATTTTCAGTCCAGGTTGATTGTGTCACTTGTTGTACCGCAGACAATCCTGACATTCTCCATTCACACCACATTCAATTTATCTGTGTGTATCTCTTGACATAACCAACTTCCTTTACACATCACTGTCTACAAACAGGCCTTCTCATTTATTTTCTCATCAGAAAGCAAAATCCTGATTGCATTGCAGCTTTTACTAGGCTAAAATCCTGTCAGCATTGTGACTTTTCCATTCCTCTTGAAAACTCCTAATTCCTGAGCATAAAAGAATAATTTGGTCATGATTTTCTTTCCTTACAAGAATAGTTCCCAAACTTCCCATTTATGCAGAATATTATCATGAGTTTTTGAGAACTATAATACAATCCTCCAAAACTGCATTGCTGACTCTGGATAGTCCTCAAAAACTCATGATAATATTCTGCATAAATGGGAAGTTTGGGAACTATTCTTGTAAGGAAAGAAAATCATGACCAAATTATTCTTTTATGCTCAGGAATTAGGAGTTTTCAAGAGGAATGGAAAAGTCACAATGCTGACAGGATTTTAATCTAGTAAAAGCTGCAATGCAATCAGGATTTGCTAGGGTGGAATTATAACATCCATTCAAATTCTCATTAAAAGAAAACAGTAAGGACTTCAGAAGAAGCCTTTTTCACAGCAAAACAAAACCTCTGAGATATCAAGGGGCAGAGTTTATTTATTTATTTTATCATATATATATATATATGTTTTCTGAGGTTTTCGCGGGTATTTGTATGTGGCAAAGCCAAACAGCAGGATCACAGCTCACCAGCTCAAATCCCCCAGCAACTAAGACTAACCTGAGCACAACCAAGCCCCCACCTGAACAGAACGCACCCCCAGCCAATCAGAACACAGCCAACACCCCAACCAATCAGAACACAGCCAAACCCCCAACCAATGAGAACACACCCCCACCCAATCAGAACACAGCCAAGCCCCCACCCAATCAAGTCACACCCCCACTAGCAGTTAAAAGGAAGAAGCAGCTGCAAGCTCACATTACTCTGAGAAGCACAGAGCCGAAGACACAAGCCTGAAGATGATGAATGAGACTTCATCGAAACGTTGCCTAGATACTTCCAATTTTATGCGGGGGGAAACCTGAATAACCAAAGATCCACATATATATATATGTTTTCTGAGGTTTTCGCGGGTATTTGTATGTGGATCTTTGGTTATTCGGGTTTTCTCCCGCGTAAAATTGGAAGTATCTAGGCGACGTTTCGATGAAGTCTCATTCATCATCTTCAGTCTCATTCATTATCTTCAGTCTCATTCATCATCTTCAGCCTGAAAAACATGATTATTAATACATGAAATAGATACGAATAAAAGGGAATATTAAGACAGGAATGGTAGGCACGTTGGTGCGCTTATACACACCTCTTACAGACCTCTTAGGAATGAGGTGAGGTCAACAGTAGACAGTCTGAGGTTAAGGTTTTGGGTTAGTGGAAGAAACCACAGAGTCAGGTAGAGTATTCCAGGCATTGACCACTCTGTTGCTGAAGTCGTATTTCCTGCAATCGAGTTTTGTGCGGTTTACCTTGAGTTTGTATCTATTGTGTGCTCGTGTATTGTTGAGGTTGAAGCTGAAGTAGTCATTGATGGGGTGGGACATTATAATGGATAATTTTATGTACTACGCTTAGGTCAGACCGAAGGCAACATAATTCTAAGTTATCTAAGCCTAAAATTTCAAGACTGGAGGCATAGGGTATTCTGTTGCGAGTAGTGGAGTGGAGGACTCTTCTCATGAGGTATTTCTGGACTCTCTCAATTGTATTAATGTCCAATATGCAATGTGAATTCCAGACAGATGAGCTGTATTCAAGAATTGGTCT